CCGCGGCCGGGTGACCAGACCACTGCTAGCCGGGTCGGACCATGCAAGACCTAGGCGCAGCGTGGCACGGGCCTGGCACACGCACGGGCCAGCGACTGCGCCTTGGTCGCAACGTGACCCCAGCGCCACCACGCTGTGCCCGCGGTGACCGCCAACCCAGTCTGAACGGCTACCCTAGGTGACGTGCACACATTTTAAAGCGTAGCAAAAGTCACTAACAATCACAGTTGAGGTTCAACTAACTCCCCTATTGTAAAGTCCATATTGCCAACGACCTAGCAACGCTATTGCCATGACCAGAGGACCATCAGGGAAGGAGGTAGATGAATGCCAATGTGAGCTCGTCGCTCTGACATCAGTTCACGAATAGAGCGCCAACGACACGACTTTGACATGTTTTAACGAGGTTCGGGCAATTTTTGCAAGGGTATCGTGACACCCAACACCACTACCACCTAAGCCATGCTCAAGTACTCACTTAGAGGCAACCAACAGTACGAGAACATGCAGTTAGTGTTTAAACAATTTGGTTAGAATTTGAGTGTCAAAACGGCATGGTCTACTATCATTTCCAGACTTAGAAGAGGGCAAGGTTCAGTTAGAACTAACAACCATTAGCACTTTTGTTGTAATTTTTTTAATATGTCTAAACCTTATTAATTTCAACCAATGAATATTTCACTCAATAGCCCATACTACATGCTAACCCATCGGAGCAAAACATTTAAGCATCTTTTAACTATTTTGCTCAATATAACTCACCAAAAATTACGTTTGTAACCTAAGTTCAATTTCTTGTCGATTCAACGGAAAGTTCTAGTTTAAATTTCGGATTCGATTTTTGAGCTCTCAAGAAAACTAGTTAACAACTTTTGTTTTCAAAAATTAAAGTTGCATTTTCAACTACACCACTTGCTCATCATCTTTACTTAAGTACTACACACAAGTTATATTTTATTTTTATCTATATAAATTGTTTTTCGTTGACCTTAACCTAGGTGCTAAGCAAGCTCGTAACACCAGAGGTGTTACAAACCTTCCTCTCGATTTTTCATATGGTAGCCTTCATTGGGGATTGCACTGGTACATGTATACAGTTGGAGACACATCTAGTTAAAACGGACATGACAACAAACTACTCAAGGTTTTTAGTCACGGTTTGGTTAGTTGGACCATCGGCTGAAACAAACTATAATAAGATATCTTTTGTTCCTTATCAAAATTGCATTAACAACTTGGTGGTAGAAATCTCTGTTTCTTATAACGAAGGAGTCAAGGTTAAAAGGCCTATATTTACTATTTGTTTTTGTATTTATGGAAAAAGTTGAAAACATGAGAAATTAGAATGGGAAGGTGGTGGATGCTGATGACACAGGTGGAAGTGGACCAACGCTAGCCATTGTTAGGGATTGCACTGGTGTAAGGCTGGATAACGAGCTGGCTCGGCTCGTTTGGGCTCGGCTCGTTCTGGCTCGTTAAGATAACGAGCTAGCTTAGCTCGGCTCGTTATCCTAACGAGCCAGAAAGCCAGCTCGGCTCGGCTCGTTAAAAGCTCTAGCTGGCTCGTTAAGCTCGCGAGCCAGGTATAAAAAATACACAAAATATAATATTTGCATTTATCTAAAGTTTGAGAATAATAATAATACAAAAGAAATGCATCTAGATCAGTTACCAGTTAATTTATAGGGTCTAGACCAGTTACTAGTCAATTGTAAAGTGCAAGACATGAAGTAATACAAAAACTAATACAAGTTTTGATACTTTTTTTCCTGAAAGCTTGGCTCGTTTAGCTCGTGAGCGGCTCGCGAGCTGGCTCGAGTTGGCTCGTTATAGCTAACGAGCTAAAATTTTGGCTCGGCTCGGCTCGTTATCATAACGTGATAACGAGCCGAGCCGAGCGAGCTAACGAGCTTCGAGTTTTTCGTCCAGCCTTACAGTGATGTATGCCTGTAGCTAGGAGATATATCTATTTATTACACTATACTAGACAACAAATTAGTTGGACCAGACTATATGCAACAAATTTGTTAACTCTCGACAGGGATACACTGATACATATATACTAGACTATACCAGACTATATGGAACAAATTTGTTAACTCTCGACGGGGATACACTGATACATATATACTAGACTATATGGAACAACAAACTGCTTAAGTTTTAGTTTATGGTTTGATTATTTGGACTTCGCTGAACAAGGGTATAACAAGATAAGTTTTACTTCTACTAATCAAACAAGATAAGTTTTGTTACTAATAAAAATTGTGTCAATTACTACTTGGTGATAGAAATATATCTCTTTCTCAAAGAAGATTTCAAGGGTTCAAATGCTCTAAATATTATATTTATCATTTGTTTTGACATTTTTATAGAAAAAACAATAAACAACCGACCGTGCGAACCGAATTGGACGAGGGGGCATTATTAGCTAAAAAAAAAGAACAGAAACATGTGAGGCAAATAAAAAAACCGAACGTGTGAACAGAAAATCAAGACTAGAGGGTATTAACCACTTCTGTTTAATACCACCTTATATCCTAAATTATAGGTCGTTTTGGGTTTTCTGGTACATAACTTTTGCCATACACCTAAATATACAATATGTCTAAATATATAGTAAAAATTGTATATTAAAAAACCAAAACGACCTATAAATTGGAACGGAGTGAGTATTTACTTACTCACACCGTCCCAAAATAAGTGACGTTTTTTACTTTCAGGCGACTGTTCGTTTTATTCAAAATTTTGTATAAATTATAAAATAAATAAATTATTATTAAAATATCTCTGATGATAAAATAAGTATTAACAAAATAGATAATATTTATAATAAAAATTTTAAAATTTTGAATAAGACGAATGGTCAAACACGATATCTGAAAGTAAAAAACGTCACTTATTTTGGGACGGACGGAGTACTCCGTGTGAGAGGAAAGAGACACATACTTCCTTTATCTCAAAATAAGTTTTCTCGCGTTTTGAGAAGTCGGCCAATCTCAATTTTACAAGGTTTATAGAAAATAACATCAACATTTGTATCTCGAAATAGATTTACTACAAAAATATACGTCATGATTGATCTAATAATATTTATCTTGTATCGCAAGTAGTAGTAGTTTTTGATGTACATTTGGTTAAAGTTAAGATTATTTTACTTCGAATGCTAGATGGACATTTGTTTTGGGAGAGAGGGCTGATGTTTGATTTCGATTTTCGATCAGACGTGCTCCTACTACGCGCACCGCGCTGTGTACGCAGCACGTGGACGCGAAGCCTTCCCGAAAGTTTATTCCTACGCGTTCGCAAGAGTTCGCAACCATCACGGCCTCCACTTCCCCGTTCGATCCCATTCCCATATAAGCCTCCTACGCCACCCACAGAGCCACGCATCGGACGGAACGCAGAGGGATAGAGGAGGCGACGCGACGCGATCTCTGCGGGTTTGCTCGCTCCATTGGTAGCCCTAGGCCGCCGCCGGGCGCCCGTGCGCGCGGTGCTCACGCCCCACCCCGCTCAGGTGCGATGCGTTCGATGCCTTCATGTTAGTAGTCGTCGAAATTTTGTTGCTTGATCGGTGGTTCTCCGTATCGATCGGGGTTGGGTTGGTGCCTGTAATTTTTCTTTTATATCTGTTTTCCTGATACTGCGCGGGATTGGGAAGGCCCGCTCGATCTCAGTTCTCCGCGCCGCAAAGCAGTTACGCACGCGAGGACGCGCCAGTCCGCCGGATCTCGCAGGACGCCGCATGCCGTGCAGATTGCTGTGCCTGACTAGTCCTCGCAAGATTTCTGGACCTGCATGGATTGTTTTGTCTTGATCTAACCTCTTGTTCTGACATACGCATGTGGTTGCTCTTGATGATGAAGAAACATGTGTAATACTGTATCGTGATGCATAGTGCTCTGTTGCTCTGTTCTTTTCAGGTTATCTGTGTATCTAGTTTACATGGCTTGGTTAGTGTTTACATGACTTGGTTAGTGAGGTAGATTTATAGTATGTCTGTATTACATCGCTGGCTTAGCGAAACGGAAAAACCCTGGAAATGGTTAGTTCGTTAGGTTATATGTTAGGATGGGTGTTAAGTTAAGATATGCACTTTGGATGTTGGAATTAAATGAAGTGTCCTTCTGAAATCTCCTGGTTGCTTATTTCTTTATGTGAACATCAAAGTCATGTTCTCCAATTTGCAGAAAAGTGTGCTTAGTACTTTCGTATACATGTAAAGCTCTTTGGTTTCACATTATAATATGTTCTTTCTAATAAAGCGATAATATGCAATGCACTTATGTTGCAATCTGCAACTGGCTCTAAGATTTTACTCTGATGCTTGGTGTAGAATTCATTTTACAGATTATGATTGTTTCCTATATTTTGAAATAATTTTTTTATTATATTTCTGTTTTGACATAGAGCTAACCCAAAAAATGAATCAAAACAAATGTGTTAAACTTATAGTCGTAATCTTAAAATATTCATAAATCAAGATTTTAGATTAGTCATTAATGTGTAGCTTCTCTGTTGGGAATTTCTCGATTGTTGCTAGTGTTTGCCGCATTGACGAGTGCACAATTCTTGACTGAATTTTCCTTCAATTTCTCTGTTCTTGGCTTTTCCAACTTACTAACGTATTTTAGCAAATTGCAGCCTTGCATATGTTATGGGGTAGTTTGTCATTGTTTAATCAGTTTTAACTTGTATTTCCACCTACATATTGCATGATTGCATCAGCTGTCACATTGTTAATTATGTTTTCTTTAGGATGCCCATCTGGAATCAAGTTGAAAGTATGCTATGTTTTGTGCTTCAAACTTGCACTAATGTTTTTTCATCTAGAAAAAGGCCCCGTATTGTCTATGTTGATTAACTTGTTATTTTTTCTTCGAAATTGGTCGGGTAATAGTCATTTTAGTGCCACTTTAACTATTGACTTGCTGGAATTTTTTTTCTGACTTTGCTAACTGCCTCATAGGTGAAGGCTGATCCTTAAGCACTTCAAGATGGGCGAGGTACACGAAGCTGACAAGAACATTGAGATCTGGAGGGTCAAGAAGTTAATCAAGGCGCTTGATGCTGCGAGGGGCAATGGCACTAGCATGATTTCTCTCATCATGCCACCTCGTGATCAGATTTCACGCGTCACTAAGATGCTGGGTGATGAGTATGGAACTGCCTCAAACATCAAGAGCAGAGTCAACAGACAGTCTGTGTTGGCTGCCATAACCTCGGCTCAACAGAGGTTGAAGCTTTACAGTCGAGTTCCCCCCAATGGTTTGGTACTCTATACTGGTACCATTGTCACCGATGATGGCAAAGAGAAGAAGGTTACCTTTGACTTTGAGCCATTTAGACCCATTAATGCTTCCCTGTATCTCTGTGACAACAAGTTTCACACTGAGGCACTGAATGAGCTTCTGGCATCTGATGACAAATTTGGTTTCATAATCATGGATGGCAATGGAACACTGTATGGCACACTGAGCGGAAACAGCAGGGAGGTTCTGTACAAGTTCACTGTTGATCTCCCAAAGAAGCATGGGCGAGGAGGGCAATCTGCAGTCCGCTTTGCCCGCCTGCGCATGGAGAGGCGACACAATTACCTGCGCAAGGTTACTGAGCTTGCGACACAATACTTCATCAATCCTGCCACCAACCAGCCAAACATCGTTGGGCTTATTCTTGCCGGTTCTGCTGACTTCAAGAATGAACTGGGTAAATCTGAGATGTTTGATCCGCGTCTTCAGGCCAAAGTAGTCAAGATGATTGACGTGTCTTATGGTGGGGACAGCGGCTTCAACCAAGCCATCGAGATGTCCGCCGAGGTTCTTTCTGATGTTAAGTTTGTCCAAGAAAAGAAGCTGATCGGGAAGTTCTTTGAGGAGATAAGCCAGGACACAGGGAAGTATGTCCTTGGTGTCCAGGACACCATGACAGCCCTGGAAATGGGCGCGGTAGAAATCCTGATTGTGTGGGAAAACCTTGATGTCAGGCGTTATGAGCTCAAGAACAGTGTCACAGGAGAAACAGTTGTGAAATACCTGAACCCCACTCAGGAGGCTGATCAGAGCAACTTTACTGACGAGTCAACATCGGGGGATCTGGAGGTCATTGACAACACGCAGCTGCTGGAGTGGTTTGCTGAGAACTACCACCAGTTTGGCTGCACACTGGAGTTTGTCACCAACAAGTCCCAGGAAGGTTCTCAGTTCTGCCGGGGATTTGGCGGGATTGGTGGGATCCTCCGCTACCCAGCCGATGTCAGTGCCTACCAGGATGGTGACTTGTCTGATGGGGAGTATGATGAAGACTTCGAATAGCAATCAACCGAAACTCAAATGAATCCGGACCGGGAGGAGCCTGTGCTGGCCCGGGCCGCGCCGGGACGGAACTCTGAAACTTCCAAACGATCGGTGCAAGGAAACCATGGTCAGTAGTGTTGCCGATCGAGAAGAAATTAATTTTTTTCTTCTTGATGTTGAAACTGGGTTTTCATTTCTTTCTCTGACTGACACTCGCATGTTTTACTTCCACAGGTGGAGGATCTGTAGGGAATAGGTTTGAGCAACTTCGAATATATATGAAGCTTGTGTGAAGCGTGGTGACGTTGGTTCTTTGGAGACGCTGTCTTGCTCTGTTGATCCGAGCTTGCAGTCTGGTGATGTTACTAGGAATCAGCCATGGACGGTGCCTTCTGTTGGCCAGGAAAGCTTAAGTAATATAAATCAACTAGCATCCTATTAGTATTGAGTCGGTGCCAGTAGTGTGGTGAATAAAGTACCTGTGAGACAGGCGGTCGTTGGCCTCGTTATGGTTGGTTTGAGCGGCTGCGTTGCCGATGCAACTGTCCTTTTTATTTCTTGATGAATTTCTTGAACTGAGGTCGTGGTGTGCTTGCACTCTAGCCCTGGTGTTCTACATTCCAGTCTGCGAAGCATGTACGCTTTATGACGTGCGTGATATCTATGAACTATGAAGTAATCTGCCTTAGTTATTTGCTGATTGTGCCCATGTCTGTGACCTGTTATTTCGCATGCTCCGGTCTCTTGTAGTATGCAAGACAGAAGTCTTCTTCGTGAGATTCTTGTTCAGGGTAGTTTTCACATGTCCTGCTGCTCTTCCATAGCATGTCTATGCGAACTTTCCATCTTTATATAGCCTTTGAATTTGCTTGTTTTACTACGATGATGAAGTTGTGTGACCGACGGCAAAAGTTTCCCTTGTCAGTCATATTCAGTCTCTTTACATTTCACTAACCCATCAAGTTGAGGAAAGGTTGACACGACATTGGCGGGCCCGAGGTGCCAAGGGTGCTAGAAATTTCAGGCGGCCCACGTGAACTATGGGCCCATTCGTGTCCACTTACATGCAATTCTAAGGCAGTGCCGGCCGGCAAGCTCTTCAACGGCCTCCGTAGTTCGTACTCTCTGTTGGGCCCTCTCCGTACTACTGAAGGATATGCTGAATGCTGGACGACTTTCTCCTGCAACTCCTGCTGGCTATCCCTCCATTTAGCACAGAGATACTTGTGTCATTTTTTATAGACGAAGCAAATTTTGTTCTGACCTTTCTGTATTTATTTATTCCTATATAACGTGTATACCCATTGCTCGTATCCTTTCTACTTGTAGACATTCATTCTGTCACGTTATCCGATACTAATTTTGTGATTCTTTTCATTCATATAAGTGCTCCCACCGTTCTAAAAGGAACCAGACTGATAAATGTACTCTTTTTAAATGGAGGGAGTAATATAACTAAGAAAAGACTTTTTTTTTCTTTCTTTCTCCAAACACAACTTGTCCTATTGATTTCGTTATAATGTACTTCCTCGAATTCGTTATATAAGGCGGTCTTCTACATTTTTTTCATGTACGAAAGAGCAGACGCCTTAATAATTTAGTAATTAAGTTTCAAAAAATAATTTTGTAATTAGCACATTATAGAACAATATTTTGCTAAACTAGAGTCTGAAAAGAGCTAGGAAACTCTGATGACAAGCATCCATATAGGTTTTAATCTTTAAATGATGTAATTCTGCAAAAGTTTTTTTTCCTCCTGCACGAAATTTAGGCTCCATGACAAGGATTTTACCATTTTTACGTATGTATCAAACAGATTTGGTGCATGTACCATCAGAGGTCCGCTCACCTGAGCCAAGACAATGTATGGATATGTGAAATGATGATCGTTGGGAAGATTAACATATAAGCTCTAAATTTGAAGATACTATCTCTGTTCCAAAAATATATCTATTTCTCTAAGTCAAACTTAAATTTGTCTAAATTTGTAAAAAAATATCGCATGTATTGCACCAAATAAGTACACACTTCATAATTGATCTAATGATACTATAATTTGGTTCCTAAATATTGATATTTTCTTCTATAAATTTGGTCAAAAACCTAACACAAACCTAGAACATATATTATAGATGGATGGATGGAGGGAGGAATTATATTTAATACTGAACAGCGCATCATGTAGAGTTCAGTAATATTTTTAAATGCATAGAGAACAACATTATATGTATATTTAAAGGTAAGACAATGCAGCGATGTTTTTCTTTTTTGCCTCAAATTGTTCAATAATACGGTAAAGCAGCTGCAAGACATGGGTTCTACTCATTTTTTTTTCTTTCCTTAGCACTTATATAAGGTAGAATAATATCCAACTTATACATCCATAATGGGAATGGTTAAAAAGTGCTGTGGTGACAGGTAACTAGAACAAAAGGTAACCAAAACGAGTAAGAACTTGACAGACAGAGAACCAGTAGTTTTACACAAATTTTACACTAAAAGCATAATTCTCGCATAAACCTTATGAAATTTGTTCCCACTTTCTGAAATTGCCTTAGCTAAGCATGGCAAATAGACCTTTCAAAGTTAAAGCATTTTGGGCCAGTTTACCTTGAGACTGTAGGGCTTAGCAGAGCTTGACAAGAAGACATCTCTAAATAGATTATTTTTTGAAAGTAATTCGAAGAAAAGGTAGTGCTCAGAAGACCGAATTTTTTATTTTAGCCCTTTTTTTTGAAAATTTTTTATAAATATGTCCCTGAAGGTAAGATTTCAAAATCTGGACCCTTAACTCGGCGCCATCGTTGCTGGCGCCGAGCTCTTGGGATCGACGCTGACGTGGCGGTGATTTGACAGGCAGCTCGGCGCCGTAGATCTTGACGCTGAGCTCGGCGCCGTGGTTACTGGTGCTAAGCCTGCATGGTTGCTGTTGCGGGCAGGCAGGGTCGCGACACGCAGGTCCTGCTCATCTTCCTCTTCGCATGTGCCGGGGGGCTTCTCCACAGCTCCCGTACTCCCTGTCTTATCGACTGCCGACGTGTCAACCAACGACAAACAAATACGGTCCTACTGTACCATCCTCTGTGCGTACTGTACGTACGTACGTACTCCTACTTGTATGGACCTCCAGTCGATGGATGGATCGAATCCGATCCTCCTGTGCCGTGATATCAGGTCTGCTGCGCGCTGGAAAGGCTACCCTTAGCCTACACCGCCAGTGTCGCTGCCAACCGTGCACTACTGCACTGCAGCATGCCTGACGTGAACGTGACCAAAAAAGTGAGTACGTACGTACGGTGGTCGATTCTCGCCGCGCATGCAGCAGGCCTTCGGATTTCCCTTTCAGCCAGCCTCGCCAAACGGCCAAGCGCACAAAAAAGCGGCCGCGCAAGCGCCTCCGTGTCAGAGGCCTGTCGTGCGACCCTGTGTCCTGTGTCCATGCCCATGTGGGATGCGCCCCACTACTACGGCGCCGGTGGACGACACCTCTCGGCCGGCCCCGCGCAACGCACCACGCCGGCTGGGCTCGGCTCCTGGGTACGTTTCGAGCCGGCAATGGCTGCACCGCCGCGGCACATTGACGAGGCCGAGCTGTGGAGTACGTACTCCATAGTGCCATACGGAACGTGATGTGAGTAGACAGGTCGCTGGAAGCCTGGAACTGATCGATCAATGTGAGTCTGATGGAGCCGCGCGCCGTTGGTTAGTTTCCACGGGCAGGTGTTTGTGTTTGTGTGTTCGCAAGTGGTGGCAAGTTGAAATCTGTTCTCTCGAGAGACTGAACAAATCTCTCGGGGCGCCGCGGCAATGCTTCCTGCCTGCCGTGCCCGGTTCTTGTCGAGGGACCGATGCATGCACGCATAGGAGTAGATGCATCTGGCCGCCGTCAGGGGTTTTGATTTGACAACGGCATCGGCATCCATGATGCCGGTGGTCCGCTCGTAGTACTCCTATTGCATTGCATGCATGAGTTCCAACGTCACGCCGGTGATGAACCGTCGAGACGAGCGGGGGTGGCTTGAATTGAATCTGTTTCAGGCGACGCCCAGCGTCAGATTGCCATGTGCTGATAGCCGGATAGGAGGGAGAGCACTAGTGTTTTTTGTTTTATTTTTATCATTTCTTGCGGCCAAGTTGCTCCAACAACACGCGCAACGCAAATCCCTTGATCATCCCTTCATTCCTTTGAATAAATATTCCATCTGCGTCGCTGTGAGGAAAAACAAGTGGCACGCGACGACTCCTGCATGCTGCAGTCCTTCACGTTCGCTTGCGCATTGACAGGCCGTTGAGAGTTGCAGGTTGTATTATTACTCGCATCTGCGTTCGCTTGCTGCAGTCTCAGTTTCTTGTCAACGACGTTAGCTGGTTTAATTATACTAGTATATATACTAGCTTTTCTGTATGCAGCGTATCTGAGCCAGCTATTTCCTTGCTTAAATAAAATTAGCTGCTCATTTGCGTAGTATAGTATATAACTAGACGCGTATGTATGGTGAATTCAGAATTCCCCGACTCGGTTTGCTGCGCGGGATATGCAGCATGTTCGCTTGCTCGTAAACGATCGTAAATTTCCAGCCGGAAACAGTGTTTTTCTCTCACACCAAACCATCCAGCAATAAATAATCCACGATACGATAGGGCCTCCCGAACAGGCTGATGCTATACATGCAACACCAACCACAACGAACGTCTCTATCAGTGCCTGTACTACTACTACAACTGCTAGTAGCATGTTGACCCAATAAACAAATGCAGGCAGATTGTTTTTCTCTGTTTGGGTTAGGGCGCGTTTAGATGTAAAATTTTTTGGGTTTTGGACTAATTAGGTTCGAAAGTTTCGTCTTGCGATTTCTCATCCAACTGTGCAATTAGTTTTTTTTTCGTCTACATTTAGTACTCCATACATGTGCTGCAAGATTCGATGTGATGGGTACTGCGCAAAATTTTTTTGGAACTAAACGCACCCTTAATATACATGCATGCCACTTGGCCATCAACGTCCCTGCATCTGCATC